TAATGTTGATTTTTAAAGGTAATATTGTGTGCACGTGTGTAGAACTCAAAAACACCAAAATAAAAATTACCTCGATGAACCCTCTTCGATTTCCTTCTTCTTTCGCTCTTTCCCTTCCTTTTTCTTGGGTTTCTCGGCCTGCATTGTCGATTCCTCTTCGGTTTCCATTATCACGGGCTCCTCCGTCTCCATTCTCACTGGCTCTCTTCTGTTTCCAACGACAAATCTAAAAGCCTGAGTTTATCTGATTCAAAAACCCTAAAAGATAGAATGAAGATCGAATGAAGGTGCTCCGTGCTCTCCTCGCTCGGGCGTCGTTTGATTTTTCGATGAAATAAACTTTCTTTCAGGTGTTCTGTTAATTTTTACTTGTTTCTGATCAGATTTCGCGCATGACTCAATTTAATTTTTTAAGTTGCGGTCATCTTTCCATCGTGCGGTGCGGTGTCGCACAGAATAAGAACTCCTCGGAATCAATCGATCCAAAGAACAGTTGAGGTTTAATGTTGATTTTTAAAGGTAATATTGTATGCACGTGTGTAGAACTCAAAAATACCAAAATAAAAATTAACCCACCAAAATAAAAATTATCTAGATGAACCCTCTTGGATTTCCTTCTTTTTTTGTTCTTTCCCTTCCTTTTTCTTGGGTTTCTCGGCCTGCATTGTCAATTCCTCTTCCGTTTCCATTATCACGGGCTCTTCCGTCTCCATTCTCACTAGCTCTCTTCGTTTTCCAACAGCACTAAAAGCCTGAGTTTATCTGATTCAAAAACCCTAAAAGATAGAATGAAGATCGAATGAAGGTGCTCCGTGCTCTCCTCGCTCGGGCGTCGTTTGGTTTTTCGATGAAATAAACTTTCTTTCAGGTGTTCTGTTAATTTTTACTTGTTTCAGATCAGATTCGGGCCGGGTCGCGCCGTAAACATGACTAAATTTAATTTTTTAAGTTGTGGTCATCTTTCCATGGTGCGGTGTCGCACAGAATAAGAACTCCTCGGACAATAAGGGAAGATCAGTCGATCCAAAGAACAACCTCGGAATCAATCGATCCAAAGAACAGGCCAGGGGGGCCGACAGTAGTGGAATCGGTGGTTCAGGCATGGCGAGTGCCGGGAGCTCAGCAGACCTCCCAAGAAAGGAGGCAGGCGTGCTTCGAGGGCACGAGGGGGCAGTTTTGGCTGCCCGATTCAACGCCGACGGAAATTACTGCCTGAGCTGTGGGAAGGACCGCACCCTCCGCCTCTGGAACCCTCACCGTGGCATCCACATCAAGACCTTCAAATCCCATGGTCGTGAGGTTCGTGACGTTCATGCCACCTCGTAAGATCCCCTCGAACTCCGGCTTTTTTATTTGTGTTTCCTTTCTTATAATTATTTCTAATCTGTGCTCTGTGATGGCTGAACGTGTTGCATTCATCGATTATTTCACTGAAAGGGACAATGCCAAGCTTTGCTCGTGCGGTGGGGATCGACAGGTTTTTTACTGGGATGTTGCGACTGGCCGTGTGATAAGGAAATTCCGCGGACATGATAGTGAGGTTAGGTTTAACGGATGTGTTTTTATTTTCCTTTTTTTTAAACAAGAATTTTAGTGGGTATATAGATTGAGGCCTACCATCTCACAGCTGCACAAAATGTAATGAACTAAAACACTGTTTTGGAGTTGAGGAGAAACAAAATGTCAAAAAAAAATTTATTTTTTATTTGGTTGCTTTTTCTCTAATGAAGATTATAGCTTTTACGAAGTACTATTCCAAGCAAGTGCAACAAGATTAGATTGCCCATAACTTTTGACTAGATGAAGACATAATAAACCTAGATATCATAGAAACATAAGACATAAATCAGAGGAATACAAGGCATTATCACATCATGAATCAAGGTTTTAGCATTTAGGGTTTGGTGAGATAAATGATTTAGGTTCTTTCTTCATGATTGAGTGTTTTAATAGAGATGAAAATGATTCCTTTTTATCTTTAGGGTTTTGCTATTATTGTTAAAGCTCATGTAGATATTGTCTCTAGTCTCATACTGGGCAAAAAAAAAAACTGATTTTGTTTAGAAAATAATCAAAATTTGAAATGATTAGCCCTTCTCTCCAAACCACTTAAGCTTATGAATTGTATTTGTCCGCATATGTACTAAGACCCAGTTTCGCTTCTTTTTTATCCACTCTCATCACTCAATAAGTGATATTGGAGCTGAAGGTTGACTGAGATTAAGTGGTTTATATGATTTATGGAACAATTTGGTTTTTCGTGTCTTCTATTATTTGGCAAGCTCTGATATGAGGAGAAGATTGTTAAGTCTTAAGAGAGTAATGAGCTTAGTTTTATCATAAATATTTAAACAGTATATTGATGTTGAAATATCAAGTAATGTCCTTCTTATCTAATAGGCTTAAGCTTTTAGATTAAAGATATATTTTACCATTGGTGTCTTATGCCTAAATTTGGTCCTATGGGTGTAAAAATGTCGAGCTTGAGTGACCTCATTGTTTGCTCATTTTAAAATTTTTTGTTTGAAATTGTCTCGTGTTAGCATGTTCGTGTTTAAATCAATTCAAAGTTTTTTTGTTTATCTTGAATTTGACTCGAATGGTTCAAAAAATAATAAATTATAACAATTTTTTAAATATAAAAATAAAATCAATATAAAAAGATTATGATAAATATTAAATCATTAGTATGAGTCAAAATTAGGCTAAATATGATCGAGCAAGCCAATGTCTATTCATGTTCGGTTTGTTTATAAATTGAGCTCAAAATAACTTTTTATGCTTAGCTCGCTTACTTAACAAATGAATCAAGCATGAGTTGCAAAATGAGCTAAAAAATGAGTTATTCGCGAACAATTTGCTTTTTTGGCAACCTTAATTGGCTCTCTTTTGATCCACATTCTCTAACAAATTCCATCGTAGCTAAAGGATCAATTTAAATTTAGTAGTTTATTGATTTATTGCTCCTATGAATTGTTGTTTTCTTTAATAGTAATTGAGCAGTGTTGAATAGCAGGGGAATTCCGTATTGACTCCGTATGGTTAAGTGAGATATTGGTGCATAGAACTTAACAACAACAACAACAACAACAACAAATCCTTAAGCCTACTACGTGGGGTCGGCTAGATGAATCCTTTTTCTCCATTGCGTCCTGTTTAGTGTCATAATTTCATTTAGTTATAATAAATTAAGATCAATTTTTATACAATAAGCCCAAGTCTTCCTAGGTTTACCTCTGCCTTTTTTAACATAAGTCGAATTTAAAACATCTACTCTCCTAATCGGATCATTAGATGATTGACACTTAATGTGACCAAATCATCTAAGACGACTTTCTCTAATTTTGTCCGTCACAGGAGATACACCAACACTATCACAAATATTTCATTTCGCATTTTGTCTCTAAGTGTAAAGCAACTCATGCACCTAATCATACCTAATCATTCTCATCTCGATCTCGGCTACACTTAACTTAGTATTATGCTTCTCTTTTAAAGGCCAACATTCAACATCATAAAGCATTGCAGGTCTCTCCACCGTCTTATAATATTTTCCTTTCAGTCCAAGCGGTACATTTCTATCACACAAAAGGCCCGAAGCATTCCTCCACTTCAACCATCCAACTTGAATTCTACTATTAACATCTTCTTCTATATCACAATCGCTTTGAACAACAGACCCGATATATCTAAATCGTTCACACCTTTAAATAATTTGATCACCCAAAGTTACACTTCTGTCACTAGAGCTATTACTACTAAAATTACATTCCATGTATTCAGTTTTAGTTCTACTCAAATGAAGTCCTTTAGACTCCAATATAGACCTCCATAATCCAATGTAGACCTGCATAGAACTCAAGATTTAAAAAAAAAAGATATTACTTAAAAGGGAGCGGTGGGAAATTTGTAGAGTTTTCACATATGGTGGAGAATGCGATGTAAGAGTATTGAATTTAGTATCATATTAAATGTGTGTATATTATGGTATGTAAGTATTAATTGGGTGTCCCTCCTCTCCCCAGGCTTAAAATTTTAAATCGGAAATTGGATTTTAACATTGGCGTACCAAGCAATGCCTTGAATCTCTTTTGATTTATTATCTCTTACCAATTGTATGAGTGTTAAAGGCTTGATTGAGATCAATTGATTGATACCTTTTGTGGCTCACATACTTTTTTTTGGTGTCTTTTATCATGTTTGAGAAAGATTAATTTGTGGGCCACTACCACTCCCACAATAGTTTTACACGATTGATTCAAATATTGGAGTAAAACTTTTGATGCTATTAAAATATCTTTGTTTTAGGGCTAGTGATGATTAATCTAGAAAGCTCTGATTTATGGAAAACATATTCTTAAGGCATGTGAGAGTATTTTGTTTAATTTCAATTTTTCATATTTGATAGATGCAATAGTGAAGAAGTTCAAATTAGTTTCGGACAATGATTTCTACCATATAAAGCTATATTACCAAAGCACTCATAAGCCATGATTATGTTAAACATCCTCGACTTATATGACACAAGAGAAGAAAACATCAAAATAATGGCTATGTAAAACATTTGATAAACTAACCAAACTAGATCCAATTAGCTATTAAGCACTTTGAAAACTCTCATGAGCTTGAAGGGTGATCCTTTCCTTTAGATTTTTTTGGATAAGGGCCAAATACTCGACAATATAGAATTTTTAATGCTAGTCTATTTCTTTTTTATAGAAATTTTACTTAAAATGAATATGGACTATCCAAGGGTTATATAAGGTTTTGATGATCTATATTTCCCAGTGGTATAAGCTTATGACGTTGATTATATCTCAATTGCGACTCAATAACACTCTTGAATATGAACATCATATGCACTATGAAATGTTGATGGTTTAATTTGATTTTATATTTGTGATATATTTATGTAATGTGTAGTCAACCCATTTAAGATTTTTAGGTTCCTACGTCTGAAGTAAATGTTGTGCTTCTTATCCACCGACAATAGAGAATTTCGATGTTATATCATTTAGGGAGTCTAATTACCAACCATATTTGACTCATATCATATAGCTCGAGTGGACTGGGGTGTTTGTTGCACTCTAGCTATTTACTCTTATCTTGATGTGTTTTGATGTTCTGATACCAAATCAAACCAATTCAAGAAGACTAGTATTGCTATTAGCGGTTAAAGGTGTTTATGCGACTATTTGTGATCATCATCTTGGATTTGACTAATCTATATTGAGATTGGCTTAGATACTTTGTTTTTGATTTAGCATTAAAGACCAAACAATGGATTCACTTTAGAAAGAAGAGAATTCTAAATCATACATGTGGGAATAATTTAGAATGTTATCTATCATTCTTAGAAAATGCATACCCACATCAAACATTTGATTTGGGGTGGTCCTGCAGGTCTACTATTGAGGTTAGCATTTATATAGTAAATAGTATTATGAAGTATTTAAGAGATGCCTTAGGTTAATATTTTTAAGTTAGCTTGTGTTCTAGGCTAGAATTAAGTTGACTAAAGGAAAGTTTCGAGTACATATGTTTTGTTTGATTTGTCTTCTCTGGTAGTTATTTGATTCACATGATGCATAATATTTTAAATATAGAAAAGGTGGTGCTTTCATCTTAAGGGGAGGCCCAAAATTTAGATGCTTTTGTGTGACTTGTGGGGTTTCGGTGTAATATGGGCGTAAGAACAGTTTTGTGTTTTTGTATTTGCTAGAGATGACATGATATTTGAAGTTTGTAGATTGTTCGATTTTAGGAAAATTTTATTTTTAGTATCTTATATTAATAATATGTTTTATTTTTAAAATTAGGTTTATTGGTATATCATAATTCTTATTTTTTTCTTTTATTATGGCGAGTTATGTTTGATATTATTATTTTCTTAATGTGAGAGCCATCACTCTCTATTTAACTTGTAATTATATTTTATGAAATTGAAGAAAGAGGAATAATATTATTTTTTTCTCTAAACTTATATGGTATCAGAGCTTCTAAACGACTACCGGACGTGCCCCGTGAGAAAGACTGAACTTGCGTCGATAGGTGGAGTGCAAAGCAGTTGTTCTTGCATCTCTTCCTTCTAAGGCGCTTGTGCCTTGTTGCACCTTGCCGCGTTTCCTTTGTAGATGCCGCTTTATCCTTCGAAGGCGCTTGCGCCTTCTCCTTCCTTGGAAGCATCGTCTGGTTTTTCTATCGTGACAGAACTCACAATCGATGCGGTTGTTCGTGCAGTTCCTTCAAAGCTGTGGTCTCTCCTTCAAAGTCGTTGGTTCGTACTTGGTAGTTGCAGCTTCTATTTTCTCCTTTGATCAAACTTAGTAGTCAAAGCCACTTCTAGATGTTTCTTCTTAGTAGCTGCTATTTCTTCTTCATAGTCGTTCGAACTCACGACACATTCTCTCATGATATCGTATAAGTCAATGATGATGACCAGAGTTCAAAGAAATTTAGCCATATTTATTGGCTCCACTAATTTTGAAACCACTTCACCTCACCCTACAACCTCTCTCATATCTGTTTCTGTTGATTACT